TCAGCCCCTTGGCTCATGTGGTTCCCGAGATCGCTTTCCCGCCAAAAAATTTGCATATTTTTTTAAGGGTTCCGTACGCAGCACTTATGGATGAAATTAAAACGGGAGGGTCACCCATGGTATAGGCACATATCCCCAAAGTTTCAGCCTTCTAGCTTTTCTGGTTCTTGAGCTGAAAGTGGATGAAGTGCGAACACACAGAAACACACACACACAGCCTCTCCCCAATATGCGTTTTTGCAATTTACATATATATATATATATAAACTGCAAATAAATAGGTTGTGTGTTTGTATGTTGTGCGCCTATTTGTTTGTGTGCGTGTGTTTGAGAACGAGAAGAATGAGAGGCTTTCTTTTGAGCCTATTTCAGTTCGTTAGCAAAACACCCATTATTTAAGCAAATGTTAAGGACCTATATGAAGTTGAGCATCTGGTCCATCCCTTCCTGCATTCCGAATTGATGCACTCCGGTGGTTCATCTGAGCCGTCGCCGCAGTCGTCGTCATTATCACATTTCCACATTTTTGGTATGCATTTATGATTGGTACATCGAAATTCTTCTGCTGTACAGTTTCGGGCCGGATTTTCTGAAAGTGCACCGACATCCATACAGAAACAATGATCCAAAATAATTTACCAAATAACAGCAAGCTTCAGTAAGTGCTGTTCATTCAACTGGCCAAATTAACACAACCACTCTTGATACTTTTTTGGCTCGAAATACAATATTCCAGTGTTGAGCTATTCTCTTTTGTTCACAATATTTCTTTGAGATCCCATCTGTCGGGCTCCTATTTTTCTATCGAAGTGATATTTTCGTAGCTTTGCAAGACCGAAACGGATTGACCCTTTATGTGTGGTTGGTCCGCAGAAAAAGAAAGTTGCGAACCGGAATCTAAAATTTTCCGGTTTATCGCGAGCCACAACAAGCAGTAAAGTTTTCTGTTTCATGATAGCCACAAAGGCTTCAGAGAAAAAATCAGGAAAACGCGAGGAGATGCGGTTTTTCCGGTACTAATAAGTTCGAGCTCAAACAAGAAAAAAGAGCAAATATGGATGCGAGCATGCGAACGTGGCTGTTCAGGATGTGGATTCTGTAAAACATTGCTAGATTGCATATAACGAACTGCAAACACTATCTGCTTCGTCGGATCGATCACCGCAATCATCATCCCCGTCACATGTGAACCGTTTCGGAATACATTTTCCAGATGCAGCGCACTTAAACATCCACGGATCGCAGGGCTTGTCACAGTCTACCTAAAATAATGGAATTAATTCTTTGGCTTCTACTGCTGGAATTTTCATCCCTCGAAAACTAGGATGAATTAGAACAGCATAATGTGGAGGAGAGGAGCAGATTTTTAAAATCTCACCGGTGGATCCTTTTTTGAAGGAGGATGTTGCAGACAATTTTTCATTAATTAATAATCTACGCTGAGACCATTAACAACAATGTGAGCACGTGTAAAAATTTAAAAATATCAAAAGGAAAAGCAGTATTAAAAAAAACATTGGATCAGATCAAACGCTTCTCAAAAATGAAGTAGTACGGCTGTACCGCTGCATTCCTCTTCACGCTGCACAAATTTCTTCCTCCTCTTTGGCTTACGCTACAAGAAATGTGCTTCTGAATTTGACAAATCTACTCGTTTATTTGATGCTGGAGCGCAAAACCAAAAACTAACTTCGTCTGATCCGTCACCGCAATCGTCATTCCCGTCACAGAGTTGGAACGGACGTGTACAATTGTGATTATTGCACTGGAATTCACC